TTTATGATGTGGATGAGGAGAAAGTAAACAAATGTATTCAGCTATACAACATACTTGAAACATATAGTTGGAGCTTCTCCATTTTTACTAAACAATGCTACGTATTTTTGCTAATATAAAGCCCAGAACATTAATGACAACTTATATAGCTCTTGCTGGGGTTATTGCTTGGCAGCCCAATTATAAAGCTTTTCTTCACCATGTAATACTTCACATGTAATACACCATGTAATAATCTATGGTTTATCTGTTCAATAGCAAGTGAATGGGAAAGTACAGCTGCTCCCACCCTCCTATAATGTGACGTGGTCAAGTGTGTTCGAAGAATCACAGGATTACCACACCAGAACTCCAGCAAAGAATCTGCCAGATGAGCTGCTGGGCTTTCTTGTGGTACATGTAGAGAATTATAAAGTATTGAAACAATGTCAAGACATTCCTGAAGGAATCAAACATCTCCATCATCCTGGGCTAAGACTGTGAAGGTCTCGTGAAGCCAGTTTGTTGATGCGTTCAAAGTGTTTTTTATACAGTCAAAACTGCTGAAAACTACACTTTGGATAATCTGATATTTTGGAAAAGGTTGGAAAAGATGCACATTATTTTCCTTTTTTGTTTATGGCAAATACAGTCATGCCCATGGAAATACTGCTGGCTAATGCACTCATGGTTAGGTTCAGTAAAAAAAAAAAAAAAAAAAAAAAAAAAGTGAGTCCTGTGATCATAACAGCACCTCTGAGCTGCAGAGAAAAGAAACTTTGGCCTAAAGACAGGAATGCAGAAAAGTGCAATAGCTCTATTTATTAGTGTCCTCTATTACCGGCTAACACATTAATGGCAGCAGTAGTCTCTGGACCCTATGTATATAGGCAGAATAGTCCAACAAGAAAAAAATGTGTAGGTATCAACATGAGACCAGTGACAAAATGAAAAAGACCATTTCTCTTTCAGGAGATTTGGCAAAGACATTTAAGAGGAAGAAGCAGACACATAACATTGTATTCCCTACATATTTTTTTGGAGAATGTGATGCACTTTTAAGAACTGTGGATATGGGAGAACAGAGCAAAAATCAGCTGATGAACAGCTGCAATCTGTGCAGAAAGCTTCACTGAAACCCTTATTAAACTGAAATACGGGAGCCTATTTTAAAACCTCTAAATAAAACCTCTGCAGGTTTTTTTGGACAGCCTGTTTACCTGGCAACTGTATCTCTGTGTAAGTGATTTACTATTTGCCAGTGGCCACCATCAGTGAATTTGTATTTGTGAAATATACAAGAACTAGGTACTGCAGTAAGCTAAAATCCCTCCGACTACACTGTTCTTACAGCATCCAATAAAAGTTTTAAAAAGCAAGATTTTATTAAGAGCAGTTTCTTTTCTCCTTCTTTTGTTTTCAGGATTAAAATATGTATATATATACATATATACATAAAGGAAAAAGCAAGTCAGGAAGGATGGATACGATTTGAGATATTGGATCCATGGGCTTCTAGTAAACAATTATACAACAAAAATGGAGGGTACTTTAACCCACCAGGCTTAAGCTTTAATTTACCAACACAAAGATTCATTGCCCTTCTGTGAAAACACAAGTGATACCTTTTCGACACCACTACATATTTTCACAAGCTAATTTAATGTGAGCTAGCTTTCCACTTTTTTTTTTTCCCTTATTTCTTCCTATAACCCAGCAAAATAGATACCCAGCAAGTGGCTAGTGAGGAGGGGAAGATTTGGGGTAGGAGAGACACACGCCCCAGGCTCTCTGTTGTCACAAGGAATGATGCTGCCCCCAGTCGTGCAGCCCAACAGCTCATACAGCTGACTGCAGTCTGGGACCTGGTAGTGATTCTTCCACCAGACTTCAGCATCTCAAATACTCTAGTGTTCTACTCATTTCTGTAACAATATCTTGAGATACGAGGCTGCAACAAGCTTTCAGTATGGTCAATAAAATATGCACCTATCTCAAGGAACAGTTTGCATATTTTAAGACAAGAAGAAGCTATTACATATATTAGAACTAAAATTGCTCTTTTGATTACCTATGTAGAAGTGCAGCTAGCTCATAACTGCAAACAAGTGAACTTCCATACACTGCAGTGCGGCGCTAAGTTATACAACATTTAATTGTGGCTGGTCGGTGTACTTAGGATCTTTACAGTAAACTTCACTTGAAGTACAGTTTAAAGCAAATAAAACGAAAAGCAGTGTATTTCTATAGGCTGTGAGCCCAGGCACTGCTCTTCCTAATTACTCCACAGTGACTTTGAGAGCGTTGCTGCACTGGAGCTGTCACTCGTGCATATGCCTGCTCTGCCAAGAGCCTGCACTGTCGCTGCAGCGAATGTCCCAACCATCTGCTGCCCCTGCCCTCACAGCAACAGCTCCAGAAAGCCATGAGCATTTTGCATTATTGGACAGCTGTCTAGACTGTCTAGACCTGAAAGGCAAATCTGAATTTTGTTACCAAGCCATGACAAAAACAATGCCATAATGTTGATTGATAGAGCCACCATACCACCATGATAGGTCTAATATAAATATCTGAACAGATCAGGACAAAATGAAGTATTTATTACAACCTGTACATAAGGGTTTAGTAAAATGCATTTTCCCCATAAATTGTAACAGAATTTTTAAAACTAAGTCACTTGTGACTCAAATATGCAATGGATACATTAAAGAATCATTCATGATTTCTTTTGTGCTTATAACTGGCATATCCACCACAATTTTAATTCTTACTTCCAGGTCCTTCTGCATGTGTGCAGTTTACCTATCTGTCAAGATAACAACCATCTTGCATAAGCAACTGCTGGTGACAGTTGATTTTTATTGCCTATATAGCTGGATACTTCTGGAAAAAAAATTCATATGCTCCATTGTTTAGTAAATTCCCTTCAACAAAAATTTACTAGTCACATCTGTAGCTTGAATGTTTTTTCTGAAAGACAAACCAAGGCCAAGCAAGACAAAGAATCTGCTGATACACACATGTCACTCCAAGAATTCTCCTGACAAAGTTCCCACACCCAATTTAATTACTTCTCTACTGTAAAAACACTTTCCATCTGCATTTATTGTAATAGTTTCAAATCCAAAACCAACACACTATAAAGCTAGCTAAATAAATGAATGATATTGGCCTTAGGTCCCAAGCCAGGAGCTATTCTGTAAGGCAGTGTGTCTCCAGAATTCATTTTTATGCTGATGTTTCATTTTATGTGCAATGTTTTCACTTAAGAATTGTTTAGAGAAGCATTACCTTGCTTCAGGCTTTAAAGTTTTATGTGCTGCGCAGTGCCCTCTAGTGCCGCTCCAGTCAAAGGTCTGTCAGAGATTACATTGTAAAACCAAAGTCGCATCGCAAATCACCATCTGACAAATAACTTGCTTCAGGCTGTATATGCAGCTTTTATGCACACTCAGGCCAGGAACAGTAATTTTAACTGTATCTGATATGTTCTGAAACTCCAGTTTTGGGGTTCCAAATGAAAAATATTTTGTTTGAAAATGCACTTTTCTAAAAACTTGAAACTGTACCAGAATTATAATTCAAATTGACTGCTTGTAATGTCAGTTCCCTTTTGCACTTGGAAGAAAAAGCTGTTCTGTTCCTCAGACCTAGTACAAAGAATTTAGCTACAGTTCATAAGAAATTTCCTGATGATTGACAGTAATGACAGTACATCAGAGCCTGGGTTCTCCGTTCTGTTGCAGTGTCACAGTCGATGAAGCTATGTCCATGGACTTATAATTTTTAAACACGGGAGATTTGGTAGTCTCATTAGGACAAGACACTTAAAACTGAGCTCATGCACAAATGTTCTGCTGAGCTGAGATTGCTCATTGCATCAAGTACTTGGAAAGACCTGAGCAATTATATAATCCATGAACTTTAATCCAAAGCAGAGATACAGCAGATAAAATTTTGATTTAAAATTTAAATTAGAAAGATGAAATACATTTCTGATGAAGTCCAAAGCAAAACCTCTAATGATTTCATGAAAAGCCTGTTTGGCACTGGATGCTGTATTCCCTTACATGTGTTATTACCAGCCAGAATGAAAGGGCAACGATGTGTTAAAAAAAGAACATGATAAGTAAATCAAAGAAATACAAATGCTGCACAGTAGCTCACGCCACAGATACATGCTTGTCTTGGATACTGCAGCTGACTTCCAGCTTTCAGAGGATCCTACTGATACCAAGACATGGGTAAGATGATAGGATTTTTTGAGTCTTACTCAGAATGTTGGGGTGACTTCAGGTTTGTTTTGCGGCTCTCCCCTCGCTATTAATGTTTTTGAGTTTTTCTGAAACCAAAACATACCTCTTGAAACAGAAGCAAGGCAACGATCAATCTAAAGCAGTTACTATTTCACCTGCTCAAAAGTACACATATACCCACCCACCCACACATGTGCAAAAAAACAGAAGTTAAAGTAATTTCCTCATCCATGTGTGCATTAAATTAGGAAGATTAGCAGTTGAAAAGTTCCTTACTGAAGAATGTATGGTATTTTCCTAACCTATGAACACACTGGCATGTTTCTGGTAAGTGAAAACAAAAAAGGCTTGGTACAGGTGCATTTTCCCCAACTAAAGACTGAACTGCTCATAATAAAAGCAAGTTACAATATCAGTAGATTCTAAGATTCAGACATCCAGAGAATGGATAAAAAAAGAAAAAAAGAAAAAAAAAGAAATTAGATTACACAGATTTCTGTGCACTATTTAATAGGATTTTATTTTAAATTGAGGATGATGAATGGCACCACCTTAATTGTTGTCACCCTACATGCTACCTCCATCTTCAATTGGTGAGAAATAAAAATAATAATCAAGAAAACTTTCTAAAGCTAAAATTAATCTAGTCTTTCATTCTTTGCAGAGCAAATGTCTCACACACAAATTCTGTACATATGCAATATCGCTCTATATGCTTCCACACAACTGTGCTCATTGATCATTTGATTTTAGTTACTGTACCTGGAGTTTGGAGGCTCTGAAACATCTGATTCTGTACACGATTTCTTTACCTGCAAAAGCAAATAATTGCTAGTTACTCTCATTTGAAAACACAACTTCCGCACTCACAGTTCATGCACTTACACCGCTTGAAGTGGATGCAGCTCAGCTCAGTATGATCTCTATAAAATATTTCCCGCGTTTTACAGCAGCAGTATGCAATGCTAAACAGTGTGTTTCATTATAATCCCATGAACAGCTGCCAACTGCACTTCCCTAGACTCCATTAGTATGTAAAATGCTCGGCTAAAATAGCTTGGGAGCCGTCTAACTAGGAACAAAGAAACCAAAGAACCAGGTTCCCCACTTACTTAGAAACTAGAAAGCCATTCTGTTCTCAGCTCAGCAAAGAAATGTTTTCCCAATTGATACTGCTGCTGCTTCCTGCTAAAGCTCACAATAATAAACACCAGGTTCTGGGGCAAAGTGCAGTGTTGGCCAAATAATTCATACATTAATTTTCATTTTGTGAATCTGATTACTGTATGTTAAATGTATTTTCCTAATGTACCAATGAACTTCAAATATCACATACACCACTTCCACACATATTTTCCAGACATAATGACACGAACAGCATTTCAACCTTTTATTAATCTTTGTAATACATTGCTGTTAACCAACTAGAGGTGAATAAATCTATCACTTCCAAATAAAAATCAGAAAAACAGAAAACATCACCCAAAGTACAGGACTGGTTCTAGAGGCAGTGAATTCTACTCTGCATTTGAATCCTAGACACTGAGAATTGCACACATAATTTTACACAGAAATCAGTTTTCACTAGCAACGGGGAAAGTTTCCCAGTGATGATACCTTCATGCTGTATTTACTACTGTAGCAGGTGCCAACTGGAATACCAAAAAAAAACTTCTCAACACGAAAGTATTTTTTCTCAAAGTATTTTATTTTGCTTGATTCTTACTACACACCCTTTTTCATCCTTCCCAAATAAATGTTTAAGCCCCTCTAATTTTCAGTTTCCTGGATATAATTTTTTCACTATTCACACTAGGCTTCACCATGGAGTTCGTAATTGCTGCATATTGCAGAGACATGGGCTAGTGCAGGGCTCAGCATTAGAGCTCATGTAAACCTAAAACTCGTGGTCACTACTTCACATGCACTCAGATGCAAATGCCATCGCTGTAGTCTTCTGTTCAGTGCAATTTTAATGAAGTAACAATAGATCAGAAACAGTAAAAAAATGAAATATAATCACATGATCAAGAAAAAAGTTCCTAGAAAATCGCCACAGTTTGTGCGAAAATAGAAACAAGAACAAAACACACTAAAATTAGTGCACTGAATGTCAACATTATCAAGAAATTGTTCAAAAGATAAGTTCAACATCCCTCTGAGAAACTGAAACTGAAATAGTTCATTTTCTGTGAAAAATAATGTGCAGAAGATTGTCCCAATATAAAGTTATAGTGACTTGGCAGGCAAAATACGTATGCATTTTGCATATAAGATGAATATATAATTAAAGATATAAATGCACCTAGTGAACTTACTGAGTAGGAATTCCCAGTAAAAATTCTTATTCTTTGCCTCTTTAACTTATATTTGTTTCCAGATCATTTTTGCAATCTCCTTATTTTTAAATTTATTGGCACTTGGGCATTCCTTCCCCATTTCCTTGTCCCTTGCGTGGTTCCACTGGTAGCACCATTTGCCGTGTTTGGGCTGGGGCTCCGGTCTCGCTCTCCAGGTCAGGAAGTTTTGACCACTGGAGGGCAATTACCACAGAAGCCCAAAGATAATTCAGACAAGCACTCATGCCATTTGAGTGCTCTCAACATACACAGTAGATTAACAATCCTGACTTTCCCGAGCAGGGATGAGAGGTGCTTTACTCTCAAAAGCGATGCAATAGCTGGATATTCACCCATGACTTGTTCTGTTACTGCTAACGCTGCTGTCGTATCTTGCTCTAACCAACATTACAAAGAAATTGAAATGACTGAAAGATTAGGAATTTCATTTGTGGGGAACATTAAAAATCATAAAATGGTCCAACATATGGTCTAACTGTGTCAGAAAGACTCTTGCGAGGTGGACCAATCTCTCATCAAAAAAAAAAAAAAAGTAAATATTTTATATTCAAAAATGCTGCAATGAAAGTATTTAAAAATAAGAAAAATTCAGCTTTTGAACTGGATACACACACTTCAGTTAGTCTATGATTATTCTGTGAGGAAGTGTGCAACATAAGCAGTCTTAGCCTTTGAGACTGAATGCAGTTTTCATTACATATATTTAAAGTCACTCTTTGAGAGGAAAAAATAAATAAAAAATTATTTATTTTCAAGCAAAAGATTTTCTTTGAAGTGGCCATATAGTATGAAGTGGCCATACAGTATGAACATGTCTTCTCTTTAGAGTTACTGCAATAGCAAAATACATTTTGTTGTGTATAAAATTATGCCACCCTTGAGGGTGAACACAAGATCACTGGGAAAACATACTGTCAAAGACTAAATATAATTTCCCGTGTTTTCAGCTTCACTATTTCTTCCTCTTAATCTGATTTGCTTTTTTTTGAAATAATCAGCATTTATTAGCACCACATTTATTTATATTCTCATGCACTTAATGCTAGAAAAACTTTCTTCTCTGCTGCTCTGCTTTTTTTTTCTTTCTCTATGTGAGAAGGTTTTCTCACCATTTAATTACAGCCATGCTGAGGATCATTCAGATGTAAGATACTAATAAGGTACAAGTTTCAGCTGTTCATGAACTTGGCCAAATTGGGCTGAGATCTCCTACCCTGACTGTCTTCTGTAAAACGTTTGAAAGGTTTTAGTTAAAAATCTTTCAACTCATTGGAAGAACAAATTCAGAAGAACACAGACTGTTTATCCATACTTTAAAGATGATGCACTATGGTACTGAAAGACTGTAGTGTCTCCACTTTTTGTTGCGGGATCCCAAAACTGGTAGTACAATGGCACCCAGGAACCACCATTTCTGATATGGTGCCAGATTCATTCAAGTTTATGAGCTTCTGAAAAAGAAAATGTTTTCACTCCATTGTCAGAGGCTTGTTGAAGCCTGGGCTGCTGAATTTTTGCAGACTCTGTTTGTACACAAGATGCAGGAGCTCATCTCAAGGATGTAGGAGTTAGGTAAGACTTTCCTTGCAATTACTTTTGACTGCCAGCAGCCCATGACATGAGTAAAGGGACTGACATTGGAGAAACTCTCCATGGCTTGGTAAATCCAACCCCCCACCTTACAGATACCCAGGTGGTGTAGTGAAAAAGAGAAATACCATTGACTGAAATACAGGGAGAGGGAGGAACACAGGAAACACATGAACAGGGAGAAAGAACAAAAACTAGAGAACAAAAGGAGAGAGAGGTCTGAAGGAGAGGGGGGCAGAAGCCACATGAAAAAAAAAAAAAAAGTGGCAGACATAGGGGTGGGATGCGGACACTGGAGCAATACAGGGACTGGCTGGGACAGGACAGAATAGTAGGGCTTACTCTCTAAATTTGGGGACTAAGGTCATAAACACGAGTCTAAGCATTCGTCAAGTATCTGTGGGACTCACTATGGAATCCTTTGTGACCAGTCTGCACGGAATAACAGCCTACTTCTGCTACACCACCTGCACTGAAGATCTAATTAAAGATCCAACATGGAAAACCATACTATGAACTGGCAAGATGGTGTATGAATGCTGTGTTTATACAGAAAAAATGAAGGTCTAATTTGCCTCTAATTGGGCAAAAAAGTAAACATTTAAACATAAATTTCTGCCTTAATCTCTGTCTTGGTTCTTCGTTTTTCAAACATGAAACTAGGTATCCAGGGTATGAGGGTACTGCAAAATAGAAATGCATGTGTATGCATCTCTAGTATTTGCAGTACTAAGAATAATGCATTGAAGTGCCATGATTACTGTATTTAACATACCTAAATGACAAAGAATGATTTTATAGTGAGAATGGAGTTTGGATGCTTCATGTTTAACAAATACAGAACGAAGAAGATAAAAAGAACATCCAAATAACTACAGATCCACTGAATAAAGAAGAAATCTGCCAGAAAGCCTAGGATGCCATGTAATAAAAACTGCATATGAGGCTGGATTGCCAGAGCCCATATTAATTCTGGCATTTCCTTGCTTCTGGTGTTTTATTTTGCAACATTAACATCCTTTTAAGATAATTTTCCTGGGTATCACTAAAATAGATGTTAAACCATGGACTGATCCTACTCTATGAGGGCTTTCACACACACTCACTATTCAATTCATACTGTAACACAGGTGAGAAATCCTTTCTAATGCTTAAAATAAGCACAGCTGAAAAATCTTACAGTAGCAGGAGTAAATTATTCTGGCAGTGAATCTGCTGCACTCGCTCATCTTCTGCCTCCAATGACTCTGGGCTCCTCTCCCAAATTTGAAGGCGCTCAGTGGGGCTGGAGTTTGCAATGCTTTGGGTCCATAGGAATTGGCTCTCCGTCTTTGCAAAGAGACCGACTGTTCCATGCCTGATATATCAAGGATTTTCTTTGCTACTGCGACACCTGTCATTGCTACCAGAACACCTGCAAAGTAATGATATTTTCACTTGACCTATAAAAACTGTGCTAGGGCTAGTTTATAGATACTGTGCAGTTATTTAGTAGCAAAAGCCAGGTTGCATATCAATAGGCTTAAGAAAATATACAAATACCCCTGAACACAAAGCAGTTTTCGATGGCTCCCTCCAAATAATGCTACAACTATCTACATAGCAGTCTTAAACATAGACTCGTGATGAGAAAATCCCAGTGAAGCTTCTGCAAAAATAAAACAAATGCAGAAAACACCCAGAGAAAGATCTGGATTCTAAATAATCCCAAATTCTCAAATAAATTATTTACAGTAAATCACTACTAGTCCTATATTCCTGTAAGTCTTATAAAAGTTTATTACTTAAGCCTAAGAAATAATAGTGAACCTATAATAATATACCTGTGTTAATGTATAAGTTCATAAACATTTTGCATGGAA